ATCTGTCGGATATATTGCACCAGGTACAAGTTTCCTACGTTTCTCCAACTGAAAACAAAGAAAGAAAAAACAGAATCTAAGTTCAAATCACTTTCAGATTAACAAGTAAAACATACAAAAACATTAGATTGATGAAATTTTCATATTAATTGGAAAACAACTGTTATGTAAGTCACTAAATTAATGGATCAGTTTGTTACCAAGAAAAGTAAAGATACAAGAATATATGAAGTTTGGCCAAATACGCCTACTTTCATGGAAGAGATGGCTTTGAGTTCACTACAGCATAATTCTAAAAATTACAAATGTTCTCTCCATCAAACCTTAGCCTCCAATACAACTAATCTTATTAAGTTTTCAATAATCTGATTTTGAGAGCAAGTAGGTGAGAATCTAATAATTTTCTGACCCATTATTATGCAGAGTATGGATCTGGGTCAAACAGGTCTACCAAAGGAGATGTCTACAGCTTTGGCATTTTGGTTCTTGAGATGGTTACTAGAAAAAGGCCAACAGATGATATGTTTGTTGGTGCACTAAACCTGCACAGATGGGTGAAGAATCATTACCATGGAAGCATGGAAAAAGTGATCGATACCTCACTGCTTAGGGCCTCAAAAGTCCAATCACCTGAAGTTCAGAAAATGTGGGAGATAGCAGTAGGAGAAATGACAGAATTGGGTATTCTCTGCACACAGGAGTCTCCATCCACAAGGCCCACAATGCTCGATGCTGCAGATGACTTAGATCGTCTCAAGAGATACCTCAGTGGTGATACTACTGTAACATTTGCCTCTTCTCTTGGTATTTCTTCCTCCACGCTAGGCGATGACTAACAGCCTTGGTAGGCGTACAGATGAATGCTATCAATTTTTTTATTTGCTATTGCATTAACCTTAGAGCACTCACTGAATCTATATATATGACAACGCACCAAGGGTTGCAAGAATCACCAGAGAATCTGTTAAGACATTTTAAGCACAACCTTGGAATTTCTCCACAAATAACATTCCCCCATAACCACAAGCCCTGGCAAGAGAAGATCCAAAATAAAATTGAAAACCTGAAGTCTAGACCTAGTCAACTTCACAACAGAATTGATATATTGATTGCAGAATCTAACTAATACTCAATATGGTTCAAACATTTTCTGCTTCTATTCAATTCCTAAATTTGAAAATTAATTATAATTTACAAAGTTGATGTCTAATAGAATCAACTTCACTTATATCTTCACTTCCACAACTATTGGATTTTTGAAATGCCTAATTGAATCAACTTCACCTATATCTTCATTTTCCCAACCATAGATTTCTATTTTTCATGTATCAAAGAAGAAATTATAAAAACAATTAAGTTGGATTGCACATGGGATTGATTTGGAACTAAAATACTACTTTTGGCTCAAACATCTATCAAATTTATAGTGGTTGGGATACTCCATCATATTTGTGTTGTATGAAAGAACACTATTTTGGCTCAAATTTCTGTCAATGAAATTAAAATTTGAACCAAATAAAATATAAGAGTAATACCTTCACCTTTCTGATCTCAGCAATAATCTTTCTTTAAAAATTGAAATTCAGTTGAATTTCAGATACCTTCATCTTTCCATGATATACTGCATTTCCTACACATGATGAATGATATTTTGGCTCATGTCTTGCACAAAGAAGCAGAGCAAAAAAACAATGTTTCTGCATCTACCAAGAGAAAGCAAGGGACAGATATCCAATAATGAGAATGATCCCTATTGATTATACTGCCTTGAAGGCTAGTAGCATAATAAAAAGAAAATAAAAAGAGACAGATTTTCTGTGATTAGAACGATCCCTATCCATTATACAGCTTAGCTCTCCAAGTACATCAACACTGTTAAAAGAAAAGGAAAAATAAGCATCTTCATAACTTATGTATGATGATTGGGACGCTTTCTACATAGGTAGACTGCACATGGGTACATATATGAGCAGTGAATTTGTCTATCTTCATGACTTTTTGATTATTTTGCAAAACCTGGCACCCATAATCTTATACATAATGGTTTCATATTTTATTCACAGCCAAAAAGTGAAATAAATAATTACCTAGAAAAGTGAATAATTAGGAAAGAAATATTGCTCCGCTAGGTAATACTGCCATGGCAGGCTTTGTTCACGTGCAAGTTTGCATGATTCATTGTTATCTGCTAGTTCATACAGTTCATAATCTTTGTAATAACTGTATAAAGAAAATAAAAATAAAAACCTCGATACTTTCCGACAAATACACACTACTGGCAGTACAGAACAGCATATGTTGAACAGTTTGCATCCACAAAGTTGATTTTTAGGAATATAGGTTGACTTTTATAAATATGAAAATGATAAAAGATACAAAAACACTAGCAGTGCAGGAGCCAACAAGTAATTGTGAGCTATGACAACCTCCAATTCAAATCTCCAATATGACAGACAAATTTCATCACCAACATGCTAGATCAACCATCATTGTGTTGGCAAACATACTAGACGGCATAAAAGTTACATCACATTTTCAACGTACTTTGGATATTCTCGGTGATTCTTCTGACTTTAATTGGCAACACAAAATTTTCTAATAATATTCATTTCCTAATAAATAAAAAGAAAAAAGAGGGTGTAGAACAGTCTGGTAATCGGCAAGCAAATGGCCTCCACTGTGGCCAAAAACAAAAGCACCTTTACTTAGACAACAAGAATGCTAGTGCACTAAGACAATCAGCTTTGTGACACCGGCATCTCTTTTTCCACTGAAACAAAATAGAATGTCATTGATAGAACTTAAGGCAACAAATTAACCTAAAACCTTGATTATATGACTTTTTACAATTGTCAAACTATTGACAGTAGTACTAGAACTAGAGAACTTATCTGACAAAAATTGACCAAATACATTCAGTTTCAAACGAAATTAGTACCTTTAATGCAAGGCAAACAAAGCAGTGAAATATTGATTGCGATATCAATTTCATAATTTTCAGATGTTTCTGCATTGGCATTACCTTACAAGTTAATATGATAAAAATGAAATAAAGCAAAATACATGATTATTTTTAACTCCCCAGTATGATTAATATTAATGTTACAATTGCCATTGTAATTTGTAAAACTTTGAAACAAAATAATGCCTCAAAATTTAAATCAAATATGATTTAAGATTAAAAGCTGATTGTTGTATATAGAAAAGGCCACAATGACCCTATCTGCCAAAATCAATGAAAAATCTTCATGGTTAAGGAAGTGGAGTGAGAGCCGAAAACCCCTCACAACTGAGATAGACAGTGATCAGTGCCTTCAATGTTCTCATTTTATCAAGGATAGGGTGGTGTTCATCTCCAAGGTCTGTTGCATAGAGTTTGTGAGTTTAATATTCTCGGGTGTGTATGAAAGTAATGTGCTGTCTATTGCCCATTACCGGAGATTAGATAGTAGAAACCCAATAGTACAAAACTGCAAGAGTATGGTTAAAACTACATGAGTAGAAGTATTTACAGATTAACTATTGGATTAAATATCAAAGGATATTTATCTCTCTATCCCTTGGCAAACTGTGCAAGGTGAGTGCTATAGACTGTGGGCTATTCTTATTGCAGAAAAGGCAAATAAGGAACAGATATGGTTTAGATTTGTCCTATTTTAGAAACCTAGCTATTAGTTAGGAAAGCGTATATCTTATTTAGGAATTAATTTTTATTATATGGTTAAGGTTTAATCTATTCTAGAAATATATCTCTTAATTAAGAAAATTTATCTCTTATTTGGGAATTTAATTTTTATTTTGGAGACTTATCTCCTAATTAGGAATCTCCTTCATTTTTGTTAAGGGAAACCTAAATAATAAACGTTTCCTATAATGTAATGCATCTAATCCTATTTGAAGGGTTCTAAAATTAATAAAGAGATAAGCAGAATTATAATTACAATATAAATATTGGAGTTCTCTCTAACGAGATCCAAAGTGTCAAACTCCCTTTGATAAGTTTAGAAATAATTCAAGGAATCATAACAACGGAAAGAAGCAAGATCCAGAATCAGATTATCCGGTAACCCGCCTGATGACAAGATTCTTATCTCAAGAACATAACAAATTGGTATCAGAGCTTAACACTATGGGCGACTCTACAACAGAAGAAGATCTGCGATTGATGCTCCAGAAAGCATTAGCCGCAAACGAGGCACAGAGCGCAGAGATTGAAAGGTGATTGAGCAGTTAATTGTAAGAGTTATCCTCGCAATTCAAAGAAATACTGGTCAGCTTAAATTGTGGCAAACAAAGTCAGAAGGGGCTGAAAGTCACTTTCCTTGTAATACTTAGCTTTAGCCACTCTTCTTCATGGCTGTTATATTCTCTCACAAATCTCCAGCCACTTTCCCTGTA